GGGATAACAGTGGAAGATGGCTCAGGTCCTTGGGCCCCTGCACCCGCAAAGGAGACCCAGAAGAAGCTCCTGGCTCCTGGCTTCAGATCGGTGCAGCTCTGGCTGTTGCAGCCATCTGAGGAGTGAACCAGTGGATGGAAGACCTCTCTCTCTCTCTCTGTGCCTCTCTTCTCTCTGTGTAACTCTTTCAAATAAGTAAAAAAAAAAAAAAAAAAAAAAAAAGCCCAAGAAACTGTATTTTTATTTCTCTGCAATTTTAAACTGAACTTCCTGTGCAAATCCAATTCAAAGCAAGTCCTTAAACCTGGTTGTCCAACCAGATAACCAACCACAACCACACCAACCAGACAACCAACCATTTACAGAGAAATGACTTGCATAAACTTCAATTTTACCACTTAATATAGTTTTAGGTGTTCTGTAGGTTGATGTTGGCAGGCAGAGTTAGAAAGGTCTTCCTTCCGTTGGTTCACCCCTAAATGACTGCTACAGCCGGTGCACTGTGCCGATCTGAAGCCAGGAGCCAGGCACCTCCTTCTGGTCTCCCACGCAGGTGCAGGGCCCAAGCACTTGGGCTGTCCTCCACTGCCTTCCCGGGCCACAGCAGAGAGCTGGACTGGAAGAGGAGCAACCGGGACAGAATCCGGCGCCCCGACTGGGACTAGAACTTAGGGTGCCAGCGCCACAGGCGGATGATTAGCCTAATGAACTGCGGCGCCGGCCCACTTAATATAGTTTTACTGTCCTTAAAAAAAAAAAAAAAGGTAGGAAGAAACTAGGTGCTCTGATGTAGGATAGAGATCTCTGAGATGACATTTTAACCACCAAGCCAAATGCCCAGGCTTGTGGTCACAAAAGTCCATTCAGATAGAGATGTTTCTTATATTACATTCTTTTTCTGTTTGCTTTATGCTATGGAATATATGTAGTCCAGTGAAACTGAAAGATAAAAAGTTGGAGTGAAAAGAGAAAGGAACAACTTCCAGTGCAGCTGCTAGAAGCAGTGCGGTGGCCTGATGCCATAACAAGGAGCTGGTCCCGGGCCTGGTAACCATCTTCCCTCTGTCCACACAGCACTCAGTTGTTGGCATTAGCTCTGTCCAAGGAAGTGCTAATTTCTAATTTTGAAGCATTGGTTCGAAACAGGTGGGAACATTTTTACCTATCAAATTTTAATTTTGTTCTTTAATCTTTGAAGAACAGTTAAGAAAGTAACTTTCCTTTTTATTTTTTTTTTTAAGATTTATTTTATTTATTTGAAAGATAGAGTTACAGAGAGAGGTAGAGACAGAGAGAGACGTCTTCCATCCACTGACTCACTCCCCAGATGGCCGCAACGGCTGGAACTGCACTGATCCAAAGCCAAGAGCCAGGAGTCATGAGCTTCTTCCAGGTCTTCTACGTGGGTGTAGGGGCCCAAGGACTTGGGCTATCTTCTACTGCTTTCTCAGGCCATAGCAGGGAGCTGGATCAGAAGGTGCCGGCCCCAAAGGCCCACATTTTGATGGGGAGTTACCGCATGAAAGAAAGTAGCAGATGTTTTGTTTAGTGGGTGGGATATAACTAAGAAGAGCTTATAGGAGGTGATGTAAAATGCAAAACAGCAATAAAAAGCACATGTTAGGGGTGGCATTGTGGCACAGCAGGTTTAGCTGCCACTGGTGGTGCCAGCATCCCATATTGGAGCACCAGTTGAGTCCTGACTTCTCTGCTTCTGATCCAGCTGTCTGTCAATGTGCCTGGAAAAGCAACAGAAGATGGCCCAAGTTCTTAGGCCCCTGACACCCATGTGGGGGACCAGGATGGAGTTCCTGGCACCTGCCTGTTGCATCCATTTGAAGAGTGAACCAGTGGATAGATTTGTCTTCCCTTCTGTTGTTGCTCTGCCTTTCAATAAATAAATGAAAACACAGTACTGTCACCAAGTAGCAGCTGAGGTGTTTGGAGTGTGTTTTCCTACTTTGGGATTTGTTTACTCATCAGCTTTTTTTTTTTTTTTTTTTTAAGAAAAACATTCATTTTCACTTACTTGAAAGGCAGAGAGACAGAGATCTTCCATAGCCAAGGCTACAAGCCTGGGCCAGGTGAAAATCAAGAGTCAGGAACTCTATCCAGGTGACCCATGGGGGTGACAGGGACTCAAGAACTTGAGCCATTGCCTGCTGCCTCCAAGGGTGTGCATCAGCAGGAAGCTGGAATCAGGAGTAGAGCCAGAACTCAAACCTAGGTCCTCTGATATAGGATGTCGCCATCCCAAGAGGAGTCTTAGTGGCCATGCCAACTGCCCACCCCGATGAGTATTGAGTGCCTAATATGTGTCAGGTATTAGTTCTTGTCTTCAAGATATTTATGTTTGCAGTGTAGGGAGATGGACAATTAAAAAAGCTGAACAAGGATGCTTAAAAAAGTGTCTGAAAGGGGCTGGTGCTGTGGCGTTACTAGGCTAAGCAGCTCCTGGCTCCTGGCTCCAGGTCGTCTCAGCTCCAGCCATTGTGGCCTTTTCGGGAGTGAACCAGTGGATGGAAGATCTCCTTTTTCTTTCGGTCTCTACTTCTCTCTGTAACTCCATCTTTCAAATAAATAAATATTTAAAAAAAGAAAAAAAGTTTGTGGAAAAAGGGAATTAAAAGATTGCTTAGGTATAAGCAGCTTTGAAATCTGTGCATAGAGTTGTGGTTTTTTTGTTTTTTTTTTTTTTTTTTTGACAGGCAGAGTGGACAGTGAGAGAGAGAGACAGAGAGAAAGCTCTTCCTTTTGCCGTTGGTTCACCCCCAATGGCCGCCGCGGCTGGCGCGCTGTGGCGCACCGCACTGATCTCCTGGTCTCCCATGGGGTGCAGGGCCCAAGCACTTGGGCCATCCTCCACTGCACTCCCTGGCCATAGCAGAGAGCTGGCCTGGAAGAGGGGCAACCGGGACAGAATCCGGTGCTCCGACTGGGACTAGGACCCAGTTTGCTGGCGCCGCGAGGCGGAGGATTAGCCTAGTGAGCCACGGCGCCGGCCTGTGCATAGAGTTTTATCATAATGTTATTTTCTGAACTTTTATTTGTTAAAGATTTATTTATTTGAAAGAGTTACGGAGCCGGCGCCGTGGCTCAATAGGCTAATCCTCCACCTTGCGGCGCCGGCACACCGGGTTCTAGTCCCGGTCGGGGCGCCGGATTCTGTCCCGGTTGCCCCTCTTCCAGGCCAGCTCTCTGCTATGGCCAGGGAGTGCAGTGGAGGATGGCCCAGGTGCTTGGGCCCTGCACCCCATGGGAGACCAGGAAAAGCACCTGGCTCCTGGCTCCTGCCAGGATCAGCGCGGTGCGCCGGCTGCAGCGGCGGCCATTGGAGGGTGAACCAACGGCAAAAGGAAGACCTTTCTCTCTCTGTCTCTCTCTCTGTCCACTCTGCCTGTCAAAAAAAAAAAAAAAAAAAAAAAAAAAAGAAAGAGTTACGGAGAGAGGTAGAGAAAGACAAGAGATCTTCCATCTGCTGGTTTACTCCCCAAGTGGCTACAATTGCTAGAGCTGAGCCAGGCTGAAGCCAGGAGCCAGGAGATTCTTCCAGGTCTCCCACATGGGTACAGGGACCCAAGGATTTGGACCATCTGCTGCTGCTTTTCCCAGGCCGTTAACAGGGAGTTGGATTGGAAGTGGAGCAGCCAGGACATGAACCAGCACCTCTCTGAGATCCCAGCACTGCAAGCAGTGGCTTTACCTATAACGGCACAGTTCCATCTCCTCATGAACTTCTTGAAGATTTTTTGTATGCACAGATTTCATTTTTTGTGTGTATGCCAAAATAGACTTTTTTCTTAAAAAATGTATTGAAAACTTACTGGTTTAGTCTTCAGATATCTGCAATAGCCAGGGCTGGACCAGGCCAAAAGTAGGAACCAGGAACCCAATCCAGGTCTTCCTTTGGGTGTCATGGACTAAACTACTTGAGCCATCACCTGCTGCCTTCTAGGGTCTGTATCAACAGGAAGCTGGAGTCAAGAGCTAGAGCTAGGAATTAAACCCAGACACTCCAGTGTGGCGTATGAGCGAATATGACACATTCCAAATGCTCATACTTATCTTTTAATTCCGCATTTCATGAACTTTTTTGAAGTACCTTCAAAACATGCCAGGTGGCAAGTGCTATGCAGGGAGTGGGGTATGGGGCTACTTATGTCTGAAAACTCAGGGAAAGTCCCTAGATAAGGTTAGTTTTGAGCAGACTTGAAGGAAGTGAGGAATGAGTTACAGGAAATGGAGGACTTAACTTAAGGTGGCAGGCTTTGAGGCAGGACATGCTGGGTGATTCCAGGAGCAGAAACAGGAGCTAATGTGGCTATGGTAGAGCAGGCAAGAGAACACGGTAGATGAGGACAGAGAGGCAGCTGAGGGAGAGAGGAGAATTGGGCCATGGGTTATCTAAGGCCCTGTGAACTGCAGGAAGATCTTTAGATTTTATTCAGGTACTTCTGTGTCATGTAGCACAGTGGAAGGCGTTTGGATTATGAAGTAAGAACAATATTTAATCCTTTCTCCGCTAAGTGTCAGCTATGTATTTTAGTCTCAGTTTCCTCATATGTAAACAGGGCTATGAATTCCCTTCTTCCATTTGGGCAGAAATAAATGAGATTTGTATGTAAGGTTCTTAGCACAGTGATTGAAGATATGTAGTAGCTAATATTGTCACCAGTATTAATGTGATTATAGATATTAATAAAGATCCAAGATACCAGTGGAGTTTTCTCTTTTTTTTTTTTTTTCCCAAAGATTTATTTATCTGAAAGGCAGAGTTATAGAGAGGCAGAGGCAGAGAGAGAGATTTATCTTTCATCTGCTGGTTTACTGCCCAAATGGCTACAACAGCCAGGACTGGGCCAGACTGAAGCTAGGAGCCAGGAACTTCTTCCAAGTCTCCCACGTGGGTCTCTCTTTCTCTGCGTTTTAAATAATTAAATATTAAAAAAAAGTGGTTCTGCAATATGTCTGCTTATGTGTGTGCCATTGTTGACTTTCAGAATGCTCTGTTGGAGATCTGGTTCAGGGGACTTAGAGTGAAGATCAGATAGACTTCTGTGATAGTGCTGGCAACGGTGATACTTCCCATTGCACTCAGAACATGTGAAAACAGGTGATTATCCTATCTCCTTTGGGAGATAATCCAGAATATTATGAGCCTCTGCCCTCATGACATGAAAATCTGTCATGGAATGTAAGCTTAATGGATGGTACACGATAGGTGCTCCACCAAGTTTGTTGAGTGACTAAATGAAAGAACAAAGAATAAACATAACTATGTCTGTAACACATGATCACTCTATTTTATAACCAGTAAATAACCTTGAATCAATTTAAATATTTGCTTTCATTGATCTTTTTTCCTCCTTTGTTATGTTATTCTTACTTGTTACATTAGTGTCTAGAATTAAAAACTTAAATTTATCTCTTAGAAATTGGTTAGTTTGGGGTGGGTATTTGGTATAGCAATAAACATGCTGCTTGGGATCCCATTTTCCATATCAGAGTGCCTGGATTTGGGTCCCAGTTCTACTCCCAATTCCAGCTTTCTGTTAATGCAGATTTTGGGAGGTGGCAGGTGATGGCTCAAATTGATAGGTTCCCTGCCACCCACATGGTAAATCTAGATTGTTTCTGTCTCCTGGCTTTGGCCTGGCCTGGCCCCAAGTAGTATAGGCATTTGGGGATTGAATCAGCAGATGGGATCCCTCTCTGTCTCTGTCTCTTTCTCACTCACTCTCACACACTCACACTCATTCTCCCCTCCTTCCAGCTCTCTTATCCCTTCCATCTCTCTCTCTCTCTCTCTCTGGCTTTCAAATAAAATAAAAAAATAATTAAAAAATAAATTATTTAGTTTAACAATTCACTTCCATGCTTAAAATCCTCTAGTAGTTCCCAGTTACCATTAAACCCAAATTCCCTAGAATGCATGTAAGACTTTCAAGATAGAACCCCTGTCTACCTGGCTCTCATCTCTTATTGTATCCACCTCTGAGGCTGTGCTTCAGCCATACTAAACTAGAGTTCCCAGAAAGAATTCCACTCGGAAAACCTAGCCTTTCTTTGCCCTTATTTGACTGCACACCCTGCAAAACAACTTGCATAGTCGCCTCTTCTTTGTAGCCTGCCTTTTTGGGTTATCCTTTTTCTGTATCCATAGTGCCCTTGACACATCTCTGCCCTAGCACTTGTCATGTGGTGATAATTTAATGGGTAGCTTATATCCTCCTGCCTCCCCCTTAGGTGAAGTTCTCTAATGGAAAAACTGTAGGTTTCTTCTCTGTATCCTTTACAGCTGCCACAGTGTCTCATGCATACCAGCCACTCAGCAGGTATTCAGAGGAATGTTGGATGTTACAGAGTCTGCTGTATTTCTTAAGGCATTAATTATGAGATCTAAATCTGTATGATACACACTTTTTATCTTCCTTTCATCATTTTTCTCATTTTATAAAAAATCAGTGATTGTGTCATTCTCTCATCCTTTGTTTCATACTCTAACATGGAATTCCCAAATACAAGTTCACAATGGCTTGAATAAAACAGGAATCTCACTGGGAGCAGATTTTTTCAGGTTTGACTGTACTATTACTTGCCACTAGCAGATGTTTCTAAATTATTTGGCATAATTAGATAACAAATTCCAGTTCATTAAACTATTGTTCATTTCATTTCAATAGTAGAAAGGAATTGTACATAAATTAGCTTGGTTTGTTCATATTTTACCTTCCCAGTAGGGAACATAATCAAATTGAATGGCAATTTAGTTTGAAAACGGCTTACTTAACCTTTTAGAGGCCTGAAAATGAAAACAGTATACTTTTTCATGATAATTTGTGTGCTACATGGACATTCTTGCTAATTTTCATACTTATTAGAAGAACAGATACTCATATAACAATAGTGTATATATTAGTTTGCTTTTTGTTATCTTTAGCTAAAATACCTAAGAGGAGATTCTTAGGGAAAGAAAGTTTTCTTTCAGCTTACAGTTGGCATTTGTAGGATCAGTGGCCCCACAGTCAGGTGGCTGTTGGAGAACAGTCATGGCAGATGCAGAGGCAGGTTTACATGGTTGGGCAAGAAGGAGGAGATAACCTGAGCAGAACTGGAGCTCAAATAATCAAACTTCTTTTTTTTTTTTTTTTTGACAGGCAGAATGGACAGAGAGACAGAGAGAAAGGTCTTCCTTTGCCGTTGGTTCACCCTCCAAAGGCCGCCGCGGCCGGCGCACTGCGGCCGGTGCACTGCGCTGATCCGATGGCAGGAGCCAGGTACTTATCCTGGTCTCCCATGCGGGTGCAGGGCCCAAGCACTTGGGCCATCCTCCACTGCACTCCCTGGCCACAGCAGAGAGCTGGCTTGGAAGAGGGGCAACTGGGACAGAATCCAGCGCCCTGACCAGGACTAGAACCCGGTGTGCCGGCGCCACAAGGCGGAGGATTAGCCTAGTGAGCCACGGCGCCAGCCTCAAATAATCAAACTTCTTACAAGAACTACCCTCTGAGGGCACACCCCCAATAACCCAAAGACCTCCCATGGACTCCACTCTCAGACACCACCCCAACCCATCAGCCATTAACAGTAAGAAATCAGAGTTTAAATATCTGCATGAGGTTTTTTTTTTTTTTTTTTGGACAGCAGAGTGGACAGAGAGAGAGAGCAGAGAGAAAGGTCTTCCTTTACCATTGGTTCACCCTCCAATGGCCACTGCAGCTGGTGCACTGCGCTGATCCAAAGCCAGGAGCCAGGTGCTTTTCCTGGTCTCCCATGGGGTGCAGGGCCCAAGGACTTGGGCCATCCTCCACTGCCTTCCTGGGCCACAGCAGAGAGCTGGACTGGAAGAGGGGCAACTGGGACAGAATCCAGCACCCTGACTGGGACTAGAACCCGGTGTGCTGGCGCCGCAGGCAGAGGATTAGCCTATTGAGCCATGGTGCTGGCTGCATGAGTTTTGAGGAGACAAATTCTACACATAAGAAACAGTTTAAACACATCTTCAAGTGGATAAAAGAAAACTTTCATTTTTGGTATTTATTAATGCCTGTCATTCTTCCAGAAAGAATTTGAGGTAATTTTTTTACAAAAAGATACAATGCAAAAAGATGGAAACCAATAAACTTGGGACGGAGTTTTTCTGTCTTGTATCATGTTTATACTTCTCCCTGGATCATTTCCTTCATTATGACCACACTTTGCTATTCCATGTGATAAAGCCTTCCCTTGACTTTGGTCCCGTCTCAGGAGCCATCATTAGCTATTAATGGTCCTCCCATTACCTGCAGTTTATGGAAAGAGCAGTCTGTGCACTCCACTGCTGCTTTCTGCAAGCCTATTTTTTTTTTTTTTTACTTCAGCCTACTTCTTATTCCTCCCAACTGCAGAGTCACAGAGCAATGTCCTATCCTAAGTTATGAGATGTTTGTGAATGTCATTTGTTTCTAATGAAAAGAGAGAGTAGTAGCTATTAAAGCAATAACTCTTACTTGGTAAAACAGCAAGGAAAATTTGATGATGATTATGAAGATGTGAACCCTATTGCGATAGGGGGAGGGATTGGGCTCAAGTCTGAATAAACAAGTGGGAATTTATAACCAGGCAGCAGATTTTGGGATTTGGTGGAGGAAAAGTTACTAGGAGGAGATGTCACAGGTACTGGGGAGTTCTTGCTCAGCTGATGTAATATCAAATATCAAGGATTCAGGATGGATTTGATTAGCTATCAAGAGTGATCAGAGGCCGGCGCTGGGGCTCACTAGGCTAATCCTCCGCCTTGTAGCGCCGGCACACCGGGTTCTAGTCCTGGTCAGGGCGCCGGATTCTGTCCCGGTTGCCCCTCTTCCAGGCCAGCTCTCTGCTGTGGCCAGGGAGTGCAGTGGAGGATGGCCCAAGTGCTTGGGCCTTGTACCCCATGGGAGACCAGGAGAAGCACCTGGCTCCTGCCTTCGTATCAGCGCGGTGCGCCGGCCGCAGCGGCCATTGGAGGGTGAACCAACAGCAAAAGGAAGACCTTTCTCTCTGTTTTTCTCTCTCACTGTCCACTCTGCTTATCTTAAAAAAAAAAAAAAAAAAAAGTGATCAGATATCAAAGGTGGAGTGATTCTCTCTAAATTGACTTGACAGCTGGGCCACAACTGAGCTCTGCAGGTCTGGTGAGGATCAGGTTCACAGTCAAAGCCTAGTTGAAGGCTTAGGAGGAGCCTGGACAAAGTTTGGTCAAGGGAGAGCATCTCATGTTGTGCTTCTGTTTGACTGGTTATGCTCTGTCAGTTAACAGCCAACATCCAGTGGCTTTTTCTCAGTACTCATGTTTGAGTTTTGCTTGCTGTTTAATATTTTTGGTTATCTCTTCCTTCTTGATACTGTTTTCTCTTGTTTTTCAATACCTGTCCAGTGCTACTCCTTTTCTCCCTTTTCCCTATTCCTCAGTTTCCTCCTGTAAATGTGGGTGCTTTCCAAGAACTGGCTGGCTGTTGTCCCTTGGAAGTACTTGGGCTTCTAGAGTGTGGATTTGTGGTCTCTGTCTCTGTCCTTCATAGGCCACAGATCTCCACCAGGACTTCCTGCAGGTGCTTCAGACTCTGCATGTTGCAGCTGCTCCCCACCCTTGGTGTTCCTTCTTTGCTCCTCACCTTCCTTGTTTCCAGTGCCTGGCTGCTAACTAATGCAGATGGTCTTTGCAGTGACTTTCATTGGAACTCTTCTCTCTGTATTTCCATTTCTATTGCGTTTCCTTTCCTCAAAGTACCGCAATCCTCCTCCACCACACACATGAACACATCAAAAGGAATCCTTTCATCTTCCAAATTCTTTATCATTTTACCTATAAATCTCCATCCCTTTCATAATAGTTATGTATCTCTGTCGTATCTTTTCTAGCCTGACGATTTCTCTATAAGATTAATTTACTCAGTTCTGTGTTTTTTTTTTTTTACAGTGCTTAAACTTATCAAAGTGCTTTATACATAGTAATTGCTCAAGGAGTATTTTTTGAATGAATAGCTCTTAAACCATGATACTTCTATAGTTTAATAATTTCTAGGGTAGAAATAAAAGCATTTTTTTCAATTTTTGTATTACTTTAAAAGGCTTTTCCCAAGTTAGCAGTAG